GAGAGATAGAGAGAGGGGAGAGAGAGAGGAGAGATAGAGAGAGGGGAGAGAGAGGGAGAGATAGAGAGAGGGAGAGAGGAGAGAGAGAGAGAGAGAGAGAGAGAAGGAGAGAGAGAGGGAGAGATAGAGAGAGGGAGAGAGAGAGGGAGAGAGATAGAGAGAGGGGAGAGAGAGGAGAGATAGAGAGAGGAGAGAGAGAGAGGGAGAGATAGAGAGAGAGAGAGAGAGAGAGAGAGAGAGAGATAGAGAGGAGAGAGAGAGAGAGAGAGAGGGAGAGATAGAGAGAGGGGGAGAGAGAGGGAGAGATAGAGAGAGGGGGAGAGAGAGGGAGAGATAGAGAGAGGGGGAGAGAGAGGGAGAGATAGAGAGAGGGGGAGAGAGAGGGGGAGAGAGAGGGAGAGATAGAGAGAGGGGGAGAGAGAGGGAGAGAGGGAGAGGGAGAAAGAGAAAGAGAAAGAAACAGGGGGAAGAAAGAAAAAGAGAGAAACAGGGGAGAAGAGAGAAAAAGAGGGAAACAGGGGGAGAGAGAAAAGGAGAAAAAAAAGGAAGAGAGAAAAAGCATTCTGTATTATAATGAATGCTGACTGCAGAGAGACAGAGAGAGACTGACTGTCTGTCTGTGTCTGTCTGTCTGTCTGTCTGACTGTGTGCAAGTGAATGAGGGAGAGAGAACTGAAAATAGATTGATAATAAGGAAGAGGTTACTTAAATTTTATCATCATATACATGGAGAAAAAAAGGTATAGTTTCATGTTTGAGAATTCTTTTCAGAGACTAAAAATTATTGTTTAGCTAATGTTAGTCATCTTACATGTTGGTGGAAAAGAAATATATAGAGTGACAGTGTCATACAAATGTGATACATTAGAAAAAAAAGTTTACAAACAATTACTTTAACTCATTTCCCTCATCCTCCTCAGTGATACCCTAGAAGTGGAAGGAAAGCCAGGCTATGACCCGGTAGTGACACGGAGACTTTTGGCTGCGTCAGTGAAGCTAACTGGGAAGCACCTGGATGGATCCTCAAAGGAGATTTACAATTTCATTTAAAATGATGATAATGATTGTGCTTCTGTACTGAATTTCTTCTTCTTGTTATTGTTATTTAGTAACTAAGGTATCAAAATAGTTTTTATAGTTTTTTTGTTTTTTGTTTTTGTTTTTGTCAAGGTTGATGGTACTGTAGGTATTGAAGAGTCTTAAATTTTTTGGGAAGGGTTTTAAAAGACTCAAAATTGCCCTAGACCATTTAGTAAGATAAAAAATTAAAAGGCAGCAAAGAGGTGCAGCTGAGATTGTTAGATAAAAGCTTGAATTTACAATTGTTAAAAATGGGAATTTATTAAAGATGAGTCTCTGAATTGATGATCGAAAAAGGTTTCAAATCCAAAATCTGAGAAACGATAATTATGGAAATGTATTATTAGTGTAGTATAGCCACATTAATTCTAAATTACATCTCAATAACTCACAACCAGAATGAGGATCATTGACATTGCATGCTGGGAAGTTTTAAATGTGGAAGGCGAGTGGGCCTACAATGGCAAGAGTGCTCCAAGAGACGGTTCAAAAATATGCGTTCACATAACCAACGAGTGCTGCTCATGCGAGATAGAGCTGCTTGAGTCACGGTATCTAGTATGTGAAGCTGAGGAAACTGTAGTTTTTGGAGAGGCTGTCTCGGCATTTGACCGGTCTCTGGAATTGGCCCTTTCAGTGATGAATGATGAGGAAACAGCCCTCATCAATATCAAACTGCCAAGAAAATTTGTGGATGATAATACAGACAGTGATGACATCACATTCACTTGCCAGTTAAGCCTGAAGATCATAGAAAATGCAAAGCTGATATTTGAGCACAGCCCAGAAGAGAAAATGGCCAAGGCCATTAGGTACAAGAACCTAGGCGTTGGCCTGTATAAAGAGGGCAGTTTTTCAAAGCAAGTCTCAGCCTTTTTCATGTTCAGCCAGTCTGTGAAGTGGCTGGTAACAATCAATACAGAGGAAGCACAAAGCAGCCTGGCTGAGATCAAGGCAATCAAGATGCATTGTTACAACAACCTGGGGCTTTACCATTTGCGCAACAATCAGTATCGACTGGCTGTGGCAGCCACAGTGACTGTCCTTAATGAAGACCCTGACAACATCAAAGCCCTTTACCGGCGCTCTGTGGCAAACACTGAGCTGCAAAACTATGAAAAGGCTGAAGAAGACATTCAGGCAGCTCTTGTGCTTGATCCTAACAACACCCTCATCAAGAAGCAGATGGAAATTCTCAAGAAACGGCAAAAGATGCTTTCTCACAAGTATGCCGAGGCAATGAAAAAATATTTTGCCTAAAAGGAGGGTCTAAATATGTTCACTAAATATAGAATTAAGAGCAAATCTTTTCTCCATATTGCAAAGGTACACCACCAGCTGATGAAGGGTTTGTTCAAATGCAAAGGGTTAAGCCTAGCCAGTACAATAGACTGAATTAAAGAATTTTAATACAAGGAAAGTTATTTACTTTTACCCGATAAATATGTGCTTAATAAGCCAGAGAGAGATATCACAGGGCTCATTAAGTTCTATTTTAAACAATTTTGCTGCAGCATATTTCAAAATTTCACAAGCATTATCATCATTAGTTTGTTCATGTGGTTTGTCCTAATCCTTTTGAATATTTCAGGCACTCTTGGCCCATTTAGCAAGAGGTTATTTCACCACACAGAAATAAAATTGGCATTCTGACCATTTGTAAAATATTTTCTCGTACCCCATGAATGTGTGACAGATTATGTCCTGACTGGTTATTTTATTTATCAAAAATTTTGTCATATCAACATCCAAGGTCATTAGCAGCGTGTTCAAAATATAGCAGTAGTGTGAGGGAAGTGCTATGTGACATCAAAGGTCATATGGTGCCCTGGTAAAGTAGTAAAAAGGGTTAGGAATGAGTTAATGATCAGGGTAAAGTTACAGCATGAACAGTACTCGAGGGTAGTATGGTAGTGAAGAGAGTGGGATATTGGGAGCTGATGGGGGTATATAGTATAAGGTATAGTATAAGGTAAAGGTTGTTAGGAGGAGGAGGAGGAGTTCAGGAAGTAGGGAGCATTATGATAAAGTGTTGTGGCAAAAACAGCAGAAATGAGTTAACAGTTAGGATAAGTGGATAGAACAAGTATGAGGAAAAGGGAAAGTGGAGAAGAAAGACCGTGCAAAATTAGTTGAGGCGAGGGCTGAGGACCAAGGTAGGGGTAATTGCTTTCATTGGGCCTCAGTCCCCATCTCCCAAGCCCCCCTCCCCTGACAACAAGCAAGGGATTGGGGGGGGGGGGGAGTAATGAGGAATGGTTATTCTTACCCACTTAGGTGTCAGTTTCCAAAAAATGAATATGTTTATGATTAGTTCTTATTTTACTTAGTTTATTCTTTAAACTTGATTTATTTCATTGCTGTTTTTTTATATTTGTTTAAAAAAAGAAAGAAAAAGAAAAAAGAGAAAAGTTATGGTGTCGTCTAATGCTTTACAGTTGAAGTTTACATCTTCAATTTTTCTTCCATATATGTTATAACTTCATCAATTCTCTGATGATTTCATTATAATATAAAAGCATTAAAAAAAATGATTATATATATATATATATATATATATATATATATATATATATATATATATATATATATATAATGTAAGTAGAAAAGGTATGAATGAGAATGAATATCTTTAAAATACAAGAGATGTATTTCCATTCTTATTCATACCTTTTCTACATTTGTCAACATGAATACAAAGAGTTAGTGTGTGTTCTTTTGCTTGTGTGTGCAATACAGGTAAAGAAGGAAAGCTAAAAACAAATTAAGACAGGGCTGATACAAAATAATGGACAAGCAGAGTTGTAGGTTAAACCCACTTAACCCCTTGGCGCCGGGTATGACGTGTACGTATGTGCTATGCCCACAGTGAGTACTTGTTTGATTGTTTTTACGCATAGATGGCAACACTTGTAACTGGCTCATTGGTGATTTAGTACAAGTCCCGCCCGTCTCGCCCGTTTACCCGTTTCTTTGATTTACAAAATATTTTACGTAATCTTATTTTGCTGTTACTAATGTTAAAAAAAAAATTATAAAAATTATAATGTTTATCATAAAAATAACACCATCGATTTTCATAGCACAAGTGAAAAATACGTTTTTCCCGCCATTTAAATCAGGCGCTAGCAGAGCCATCTATTGGCAGACATTTCACGAAAAACATAGAAAGTTAGCACAATATTTTCCCCATTTTTTGGTCATTTTCCCCAGCACCATTGGGTTAAAAACAATAGTACAAATTATATTTTAGTTATTGAAAAAATTCCACAGGGTGATGCTTAGGGGCAAACCCGAGTAAAAACGTTTTTTGGTTCATAAGGTGATATTTGTGGATTCCCAGAATGATCAGTTGTTAAAGTAGATTAATTTGCTATAGCATTATGATTAAGCATTGTGGTAAAAAAGGGGGAAAAAATGAGGTAATGATTTGGAGGATTGGACGGAAGGGTATGAAGAAGAGAAGGAAAAGGAAAGAGAAGACTTTGCAAAATTAGTGGAGGCAAGGGGTCAGGCCCATGGCAGGGGTGATCTCCTACATTGGGCTTAAGTCCTGGTCTTCTAAGCCCCCCCCCCTCCCCCATGACAACAATGAGTAGGGTATTTGGGGGGGGGGGGGCAAGTGTTATGATAAAAATGTTTAAGAAAGTCAAACATCCTAGCTGCTCTTCTGCTTGTGAAGGAGGCAGAGTTTTGTTTTTCTCTCAGGCACAAGCCAATTAACTCATCTTAAAGAAAATATGTTGAATGGGTAATAGTTTATTTCTAACCAAAGGTCTTCTGTTCCAATCAGTAGATATGTAACAGTTTCTTGTATCATGCTTTTGTGGGCACTTGGTGTAATATTTTTTAACTTTGTTTTTCTCAAACTCATCCACAGCATTTACTAATTTTTTTTTGCTGCATCAACATCTTAGGTCATTACTGGTATATTCAAAATACAGCAGTAAGGGGGGGGGGGGGGTTGAGGGCAAAGCCTCAATGTATGGAAGTTTTTTGGTTCCTAAAGCAATGTTTTTGGATTCCCAGTATGGTAAATGGTTAAGACAAATGCACTAGACAAAGCTCATATAGCATTATGATAAAACATTGTGGCAAAAAGGGTAAAAACGATGAAGAGAAGTGAAAGGAAAAGGGGAGAAGAAAAGACCATGCAGAAATAGTTGATGCAGGGGGTCAGGTGTAAAACAGGGGTGATCCCTATATTGGGCCCCAGTCTGTCTCTCCTAAGCCCCCCCCCCCCCACCCCTGGCAACAATGAGCAAAGAATTGGGGGGGGATGGCAGATATACATTTCTTTCAGTGTTGAAAACTGAGGGGTGACTGCATTTTGAGACAGGGGCACTATAATGTTCACTTACTCTCTTAAGGCCCCATCTAGACAATGGAAGTGTCTGGTGGACTTCGCCTGTTCATCAGGCAACTTCTCTCCTCGTACACTAGGGGATGAAGGTGTCTGGCAAGTCATCCATTCATTCTCAGAAGCAAACAAATTACTAGGCAGATGGCCTCATCTGGTGATTTTGCTCAACCATAGGCACAGGCACTTTGTTGGTTTGCTTATTAGTATTTCTCAAACAATGGGCCTGTGCTAGTCGGGCAGTGCTCGATCATGTGGACAAGGCCTTATAAGAGTGATTTTGTATATCTAATGTTTATAGATTTAACTCCTTATATAACTATGATGATGGAGCAGTAATGTGTGCTGAATAGATCAGTGGCCTAAGGCACCCAAGCATTGTTTTTGCATTTGGTTATATATAGGTCAGGGCTGTCTCACTTGTCTTTATAAACCATGACTTAAGGTTTTGCTTTTTTATTATAAGCAATACTGTAATTATTTAAAAATTTATAGCTACAGATATATGGCAAAATTTAACTTACAAGAGCTTTTATACCTAACAGGCAAGGGAACATTAATATTTTGGTTTATATTCCTTTAGAGAAGGTGATAAGGCATGCAAGCATCTTTTTTCAGCTAATTCATTTGAATCAAATTTACTTCAGTTTCAAGTTGGCATATGATTAGTGAAGCTTGTTTTAGTGAAAAAAAAATAATTTTTTTGATGAGAGGATTTGGTTCAACATCTGTCCAATAGTGACAATTCCTTAGTTTAAGAGACTGGGCTGTTTTTGTATCTCCATTTCATTAATGACATTTGTTATTCTTGATTATAATTCATGTTGCTGTTACCAAATAACTGTTTATTTACCAGAGGTTTATAATTTTTACTTTTGTAAGGATTTCATTTAGTTTCATACTTGCTGCTATTTGAGATGCTGTTCTTCTAAGAAATGTGTGCAACTTTATTGCAAATATAAAAGCTTTAGATAGTGCAGTTTCATAAAACATATTTAGAAAATCTTAAATAGAAGTTGCTTAATAGAAGAAAAAATGGCCATAGATGTAGAAACCCATCTTAGGATCCCTTAACTTAGCAAGTGTAGTATAGTAGTTTAAATTGTAGTTAAATTGTGGAATTTGTTGTAGTTCTAGCATTATAGTGAATGGTCACCCCATATGAGACTGCTATGAAAAACCATAGTTCTAGTTCAGACCAAGAACACTGCCTTGCTTCTGAGATCTCTCCTGCTTCCACACCTTAGTACAAAATAAAGAAAGGAGGAACATGAGGAAATGAAAAAGGACATTGAAAAAGCAAGTACAAGTCCATGGACTCCTAAAGAAAACGTGTGCTAAGATAAACTAATAGTTTTTAGCCTAACGATTGTGATTATTATTATATTATATGCATGTATCTTTCTCTAAAACAAATACAAAAAAATGATAATGAATGAAGAAACGGTAAAGAATGAGGAAGAAGTGATTAAGAAAACTTCAAATACAAGAATGAACTGCAGGACAGAGCATGTCCGTCCACACCATTATTTATACCACAAAGAATTTAGGGGCCTGTGTGTGTGGATTTAGCATTTACTGTAGCTTTTTGCGATCCCAAAAAGTTAATCTGAAAAAATATGTAAATATATTTGCCATGTCAACAGCTGGTTATTTAGTGGCTTATGCCTTTTCAATGTTGCTTCCATGTGGCCTGTGTTGTGCAATATTTGGCTCTCATGTTGCCATTCAAAGATTTTGAGAATGTGATCCCGGCAGTGGAAAAGCCCGGTAACTGATGAATTATAGAAGTGGTATTGGGAAAAGTTATGGTTTTGGTAAGGTGGATATCGCATAGGATATGTAGGCTGGTATAATTTTATTATGTTTAATGAAATTAAGGAGTGAAATTTGAAGTACTGTCACAAAAAGATGTATATGTAAACTTGTATACTGTTATGCAATGTTGCTGTTGCCTGCCATATTAAAAATGGAGAATACATATTTCTTGGTTTGACTTTTATAACCTACATTAATAAAAAGCAAATGTATTTTATTCTTTAGTTGATAACATATTTAAA